CAAAGTACTTCAAATATTATCGATAATTTTCTCAATTCTCTATGAAAATTTATTCATTTGGTTTTGTATAATTCGGTTTGTTTGAATGATTTTGCCCCAAATAAAAAGTTCGAATGATGAAAATGAAAAATTGTCGACAAGGAAGTCCAGTGATAATTATCATTGATTCGATCATCACACATACCTATAAGAATGAGAGAATTGACGTAGTTGAGTCTCCACTTTATAGTTTTATTTTGACAGCTCGATGTAAATTATCGAGGGCCATGCAGTGTTATCAGTATAATACCTGATGATTGGCTAGGATTACGCATTGCTATTGGTTGAATCAACGAAAACGTCACATTTTGAAAAAAATAATCGTTTTATTTCTTGTTGAAAAGAAAAAGTGAACACCTTTGACGCCCGCTCCTGTTTAGTAGATTGATTCTCTTCGTTTAGGATTTTTGACTCCCATTGAAATAATTTTCTTCCAGAACGACGAAGATTCGTGTGTTCGACCTGTGGAAAATCGTACACCATGAAGAAAAATTTGAGACGGCACCAAACGGTCGAATGTGGGAAGAAGAAAACTGTCTTTTGCACTTTGTGTGAAAAGGGATACTATTATAAGCAAGACTTGATTGTTCATGTCAATACAAAGCATAGACATGACATTGAAGCATTCCAACTCATCAATCAGCGTTATTAAGTATTTTGATTATGTACGTCATCACGACGAGCTGATGATATACTTTCTATCAACATGGGTCTCGGAAGCTGGTGTCTGAACTATACAGGGTATACAATTTTTGTGATGGTCTAGACTCATGAGAAGCATTTATCCAAATAACTTTAGATTTACAAGGTGACTCAAATATGCGTGGCGTATCAAAGTTATACTTTTTATTATACAGGATGATGCAAATGTATGGAATAAATTCATTTCAAAACAAGACGACTTCCGAAAAAAATCCAAAAAGTAGAGTTCAGAACTTTTTTATCGATGTATTTTTTCAACTAGACGACCCTTCGATGTTCAATTCTCAGTAGAAGATCTCTGCAAGATTAAGTTAACCAAATGATAATCCATTTTAATTTCAATCTTCTTCTTAAAAAATTTGAATATTGGATAGACGATCAGTAGACCTTTCAAACGAGGTGTCACATGACCCCTGTTTGTATTTAAAAAAACCGTCCATTACGTCATTACTCCAACACCGGTGACGTAACATCACTCATACGAATGTCATGAGATGAGGTTTCAAAAATTAAAACTCACGTGTTTTTGGAATTTCTTCAAATGTCGCCCATTTCTGAAATAATGAATTTATTCCATACATTTGCATCATACTGTATGTATATTATACTACTCAAAATGTTATTTTCAATGTCTCATCATAGGAAGAAAAGAAAAATTTCGAAATCAACAAAACATTTATTCGTAAGCTCATGATACAATGACTCGCAGATTTTATGAACTGTTTTTCACATATATGTAAACAATGTTGTTCGAGATGTTGTTAGTTGGACAAATTATTCGGTTGTATGAATTATGTATACCTACACTGAATATTTTGCCAAAATGATAAAACTTCAATATTGTATATAACAAGATATTTTGTAGTGATGAATATAGGACCACAGAACTCACGATATTTCGTGCAATGAAAATACCCAAGTTCTACGCCTTTTTCATTATAGATTCCTTATTAGTATGTTATAAACAAAATGTCTCGCAAATTTTATAAACTGTTTTTCACTATGGAAACAATTGTAATTGTTCCTCTGACGAATATATTGTGATTTGAACAAATTATTTGGTTGTATGAATTGTATACCTTGAATATCTTGCCAAACTGATAAAACATTGTTATCGTAACGAGATAAACTTCTTCAAGAAATTAAAGCACCACCAAATGGTAGCCAAAAGTTGAGGGAACATTTCAGTTAAAAGTACTTTTTCGATTTGGACGTTTCTTGTTTCGAATGTCAGAATATTTCCTTCTGAACATTGGTGTGTGAACATTTTAGGAGATTCGTAATACCCTGTAGAATGTGAGTTATACTATCGAAATAGAATTGAAATCATACTTCAGTCTCATCTTTTTCAACATTTATTTTCTCGATTCACTCTATTATTCCTCTTATTACTCGAAAAACACCATTTTAGTGTGACATGATTTTATGGAAAATTAATAATAATATAATATGATAATAATGTTGATTGTTGACAATAAGAAATCGCATAAAATTTACATAAACATTTAAAAAAATTGGAGTGTAGAAACGAATAAAGTAAAATTATGCATTCAATTACATAACATGAAAAGAATAAAACTTCAATTTCAAGAAGCATTTAAAAAAATCACTGAAGCAAATTAAGTGCTTGTGCGTGATAATTTTGTTGCTACTGGTTTTCTTAGAATCAGTAAGAATATATATAATATGACAGTTACATTTATAGATTACAAGATTAGTGTTTGAAGATAAACAATAAAAAATCACAAATCACTCAAGTACCCCTAATAGCACACAACGTCCAAGGGACGTCCCTATTTGGTACAATTCACGTCCGAATGTTCCGAACCAAAAATAAGTGTCCTTGGGACGTCCCATCCCGTACATCTCATGTAATGTCCGGGCAAGGACGTCCACGGAATGTCCCAGCTGGTACATCATTCCAAATGTCCTAGAAATAGCATCCCTCAGACGTCCCAAGTGGTACATATTGTAGAATGTCCATGCAAGGACGTCCTTGGCATGTCCCTGATGGGATATGATTTCAAACGTTCCTTTAGGGACATCCATCGGATGTCCCGAGTAGTACATATACTGGCATCACTTCAGATCTTATATAATGTCCCTTCTAGACAACCATGGAATGTCCCTGATGGTACATTCCATCAAATATCTCTGCACAGACGCCCTTAATATTTCCAGGATCGTATAACAATCGAAATATCCCTTAGGGACATCCTTCGAATGTCCCTTAGGGATATCCGTCGGATGTCCCAATTGGTACATGAACTGTACTCTTCCAATGTCCTAGAAATAACGTCCTATGGACGTCCCAGTCGGTACTTTCAATATGTTGTCCCTGCGAGGAAGTTAACTTACACCTCGCCGACGGATGATTGCTCGTAGGCTATAAGTACTCCTCGTCAATGTCCTTCACGTAAGTCCATTGGACATCCTTGGGACACTTTTTGGGGACCTTCTACGGACCATCAACTCAACTGGATGTCCTAATCAGTTATGCAAGATCTGGTCCTAGAGGGACCCAGAAAAATTCGAATTCAAGAATAATTCGTACGTCCCTGGGACATCCTATGGACATACGATTGATATCTCTCAGCGTTGCTGGAAGGTTGTCCTATGGATGTCCTAAGGATGTCCTCTATAGTGCTTGATGAGGAATACTGTAGGATTTAGGTATTCGATAGTTGTTCCAGGGACATCCCTCAAGGACGTCCCTATTTGGTCCTCAAGTGGGACATTTGTGCGTCCCACAGACGTCCAATGGACGTCCACAGTACCAAATTCGAACGTCCTATGGACGTCCTGAATGTCCCGACAGGACGTCCTAAGGATATCCATGGGACATAAGTGTGTTATTGGGGACATGAAGTGCTCGTGCGTGATCATTTGATGATTCTGGTTTTTCATAGTGAAGAGGCCTAAAACAGGCAAGGTTTACATCATGGGATAATGGGTCACGATTAGGTTTGGGATTGGGTTTGGGATTTTCTCTCCTCGTTTCTATAATAAAAATATGAATATCATTTCAATATACGTGTGGTAAGAACAAACCAGATGATCTGCCCCAAAATGTCACTGCGTTCAGAGAATTTTTCCATCAGAGAGCCTAAAACAAGAAACCAATAGCTTTTTAGTGACACTTTGTTCGGGAAAAAGTTTGAAGAGAAGAAATATAGATACAGGTATTCGCTTGAGTACAAATCAATGCATATAGTTCGGGATGGAATGATCATTGAGTTTTCAAGATTTTTCAATGTACAAATACCTGAAAAATGTACATACCTATTGAGTTATGCAGTGTGTTTCTCTTCTAATGGAATCACCCTTGTATCTTTGATGATTGTTGTTGTTCTGAAATTGTTCTTATCATTCATTCGGTTGCCCCTCCACGAGCAACCCTCAAAAGTCTTCAAGAGGCTTCAGTCATTGGGGATCCAAAATAAGGCTTACCTGGAAAAAAGTCCGGAAGTTTTGGAACTTCGTAGGATTATAGTTTTGGGTGTCCAGAACTTAAATTCACAAAATGCACATTCCGGAACGTGCCGCCGACGCCGCCATCTTGCCAAGATGGCGCTCAAAAACGGTTTTTTGAAAATATCTCCAAAACGGTGCGTTTTTAGAAAGAATATGAAGACATAAAAATTCAAGATGAAGAAATTTTCTACTAGAAATGTTCCGAACATATTTCTGCTAAAGAAAGCCGTTTAGGCTCAAGAGCTGATTGAATGACAACATATTCTGTTAATTTCTATAAACTGCCCCTAACTATCTCCATATATGCGTATAAATCCATATTTTATTATAAAACGGGCTATTCCTCGTTATAGTGGACGATTTTTAGATCAATTATGCGACAAAAATTCTGCATTTGTGACTTGCGATTATTTGGGCGATATAAAAATTGCATTATCGACGAATCTGGTGACTTTGCTCCAGAAGTATGTGGGTGCAGGATGGTTATGAGTGAATGTCGTACCTATACCATGTATCCGTAGACATAGGTACCTTCTCGTACTGTAAAACCGCCCATAAATTCATAGAAATTTGAAATTTTGCTTTCTTGTCTTTACCACTCCATCCCAATATGAGTAAATACACAAAATATATATTTCAGATGAGATGTTTTTATAAACGGTGAAAACACAAAAACTTTTTCATCAACTAAATTACCTTTCCTAACGAACACAATTTGCCAATCAGTAATTTTACGAGAAAAACGGACATGAAAAAATTGCGAGACCGTATTTAACCAAGGAAAAATGAAGTTTCTAACAACATTAGAAAAACATAAAGAGCTACAAGATCATATTAAAGTTTTTAAAAATGAACATGCCACCCCTGATCAAGTTGCCTTTGCCGGTGAGAAATTTTTCCTTGCACTCTTTGGATTCAAAGACACAAATTACACCAATCTTGATAAATATCTATACCAGTGTTTCGTGAAGTCGGTAACAAAAAGGAAATTCAATTTGGCATCTTTACCTCCGACAAGCGCAGCTGCACGACAGCATTCGTTGAGACCGTACTATCAGGTTCAACTATGGCGTGGTTGTCCGAAAGTAGTTGAAGAATGGGGTTGGAAGAAAACACAAACTGGCCTCACTCCAATAACTACTTTGAAAGATCCTGCTTCCAAAGCACTACTTGCTTTTTTTATCTTGTAAGTGCAAGGCGGCTTGTGGTAGAGCCTGCGGATGCAGGAAAGCAGGATTGCGATGTTCGATGATTTGCGGTGTCTGCAACGGGAAAACTTGTGAAAATATCAGCCAAGTTACACTGGACGAATCCGATGAAGAAGACCTCCATTCGCTGCATGATGATTCTTTATCGACTGCAGAAGAAGAATCCGACGAGTTGAAGGAAATTAACATCGATTCTGGAGCTGAGGTAACCAGTTTTCCCGTTGAATATATCGAAATCAATGAGCCAGGTCCGTCTGGCCTTTGCCAAAAATAATTTCAGTACCTGAGTGGATTAGGACTACAGGGGAAACCACGTTAAAAAAACGCACTTAGCCTGTTGGGTGGTGTGGAAACAAGTACAGCATTTAAAATCGAAATTGATTGATCATAAATTATTAACATGGATTAATTGATGAATTCATCGATTAATTGAATAATGGATATCCACCGTTTCGTGATAAATATTTTTAAAGTCGTTAAATATCAGATTTGGGGACCCCTAATACACAATCATATTATTTCCGAAACTCGCCACTACAGAAAAAAACATTTGTAATTTGGTAAGGGCACTTGTGCCTTAACGAGGGTACTTTAGCGAGAATATTCTAAGAACATATTTTATTGGAAATATCCTCTGTCAGCAAGCTATAAATATAACGACAAACCGATTAGATAGCCCGTTTCATTATAAAAGATAAATTTATACGCATATTTGGAGATAGTTAGGGCAGTTTATTGAAATTAACAGAATATGATGTCATTCAATCAGCTCTTGGGCCTAAACGGCTCACTTCAGCAAAAATATACTGGGAACATTTCTTGTAGAAAATTTCTTCATCTTAAATTTTTATGTCCTCATATATTTTCTAAAAACGCACCGTTTTGGAGATATTTTTAAAAAACCGTTTTTGAGCGCCATCTTGGCAAGATGGCGGCGCCGGCGGCATGTCCCGGAATGTGCCCCAGGTAGCACATCATATTGGCTGGAACCCGATTCCATATCGGGCCGATATAGATATATCGTACATGTGAAAAATAATATAGGTCCAATATGGGAGTATATTGGACAAACAATATTGGGATGATAATATTGGTGGAATATTGGTTCAACCTGAGCTGAATATGGATTGTCAGCTACAATATTGGAGCAATATTGGTTGTAAAATTCGTTAACAATGTGTTGAGAAACATATCTATGAATGTTATATAATATTGTTTCACGAATGTCGATACAACAACATCGTATACATATCGTTCCCGACATTTACAAGCAATATTGCTATTTGAACATTCTCCCCATGTCGATTCTGAAGCGGTTATGCAATATTGTATATTCAAGTTAAACGGCATATCGGTTGGATATTGTTTCAACAATATTTGAAACATTATATTCACCCATCTTGATTGATATCATTTTATCTATATCATGCGGAAGATATCGTATACAATCTACTTCTTACATTCATTACCAATATCGCGATTTGAATATTGTCTCCATGTTGATTCTGAAGCGGTTGTGCAATATTGTATATTCAGTTCGACGGCATATTGGTTGAATATTGTTTCAACAATATTCGAAATATCATATTCACTTATCTTGATTAATATCATTCCATCCATATCATGCGAAAGATATCGCACACATATTGTGTAATCGGATTCGACGGCAAATTGGATGAATATTGTTTCAACAATATTTGGAACATCGAATTTACCTATATTGATTGATATCATGCGGAAAATATCGTATACATATTGTTTCCAACAATCATAACCAATATCGCAATTTGAACATTCTCCCCATGTCGATTCTGAAGGGGTCTTCAATGATTCGAATATGAATATCAATAACGGCAATTCAATATATTATCTTATATCGGACTTAGAAGAGAAAAACAATATTGTATTTTCAAGTTCAATTGCAAATCGGGTGAATAGTTTTCTAGCCATATTCAGAAAATAATATCATCTTATAATGGCTGATATGTGATTCACTATATCATGTGAGCAATATTGTTCACATATTGTTTCGAGAATACATATCGATATCGAAATTTCGATATTTATTCCATATTACGCACTCCCAAACCGATGTCGATAGATGGCGCTATAAATGATTGGTAACGTACTCCCATTGCCGATCAGACGAGAGAATATAAATATTGGCTCTAGACGATTGTAAAGTATTATAACCTAGAGTAGGGGTTAACCGTGATCAACAAGGCGGCTTCCCCAGGGCAAGGCCCTCCCATTGCACTCCGGCTGGGCTGACCTTTGTGATTATTCCTGATGCGAATAACTTGCAAATATTGGTATGAAAATATTCCACCAATATTTTGAAGACAACATAGCTACATAATGATTTTCAATAATGTACCAATATTTCCAATCAATATTGCACCAGTATTGTCAAATGTTCACTGTCAGCATTTATCAGCAATATTGATATCACATTTTGTGACCAATATAACTTCACGAATATTCCAGCAATATTGGTATGAGAATATTCTACCAATATTTCTGAGACAACATACCTTCATGATGATTAATTTTTCGCCAATATTGATATTACATTTTGTGTCCGATATAACTCTAAGAATATTCAACCAATATTGATATGAGAATATTCTACCCACATTTGGAAAGTGATATTGTACCAATATCGCCGAATGTTCACATTTTTTTTCTCGCCAATATCACTTTCACAATATTTTGCCGATATTTTCGTGATATTGCACCGATATTGTCCCAATATATGTGTGCTACTTGGGGCATTTTGTGAATTTTAGTTCTGGACACCCAAAACTATAATCCTACAAAGTTTCAAAACTTCCGGACTTTTTTCCAGGTAAAAATCCCCAATGACTGGCCTGCGAGCAAGAAATGACGGGGGTCTTACCTTTCAACGTGTGATCCCAAACACTTTCTTATGCCATCAGAAAAATTTTTGCGGTTGTGGTGGGAATCGAACTCACCTACCGGCAATCTAACGTGGATAGAACATTGACGCTTAACCAGTAGTGTACGCTTGAGTAAAGATTCTGAAATTCGCTGGAGCGGGAGATATACCAAAAATAAAAATATGACGATATACATTGATATAAACTGCTTGCCAACAACCATGGAACCACCCACATTTCCGTAAAATGATATTAGGATGCAAGATAAGTTAAAAATCACGTCGGATTCGGAATTCGTACGTCCAATTAACAATACATATTTTCCCTGGAATATTTTCATTTTTGAAAAATTTAATCATATTCTCACTTTCCGTGAAAGCACATCTGTATTTCACGCCATTCCCTGTATATTCGGACTCTATCTTTATCCTGCAGATTTCAGAATCTCACGGGCGTGTTTCTACAAAAATCTAATTTTTCAGAACTGAAGATTTCTCAGGAAAAATATAAATAGTCCGTGAATTGGACATCCTGATCTTGCCTCCTAACATCATTTTCCAGGAATGTGAGTGGTTCCATGGCTGTAAGCGAGCAGTGTATAACGCTGAAAATGACCATCACTTGGTAATAGTGTATTCTTGAAAAATCTCTGTCTCCTGCAATCTCCAGAATCCTAACTCAACAATTACGTAAGATATACAGGGGTGCTTCCATTTGAAATGAGGCACACTGTATAGTTTTGAGGCGAACATAATAACCTACCCGACTAGCACGATGATGTTTTCCATTCACTCTTTTCGACGTCACAAAATGAATCAAATGGCAACACTTCGAATACATCAGTATGTTGATGTCAATAATAATAATAGAGTATAACCTCAGAAACTGAAGTGGCACTTTTATAATCACGATGCGACAAGTTTGTGGTCCGACCTGAGAAAAAGCTGGAATTCGCTGAAGGATTGAAAATAAATTCAATTCCATGGTTTTTATACCATTTCAAACAATCGAGGAGTGGAAATACAAAACATTAAATGATCAAATCAATTACGGAAGACGAAAAAAATGTCAACTTTACTGACCGAGGGATGATTATCATATCGAAAAGTGATGTGCCTTGAAAGTGTTGCTTTGACGTTCGAGCAATAATGCCAGTATTCACTTTCTTTCCTAGGGCGATAATGAACCACTTCACGCCCGTAAATCCGTGCGATGAAGTGCTACTTTACGCCTGGTCGTGCATAAATCTATTCATCAATTATCATCCATCATTCTCGTCCTATCGATGTCAAGAAACTTGTAATTGTGGCATCACCAACAAGGTGAATTGCTGGTACTGAAACCCATCAGTTCAACTTCTGAAAAATGAAAAGCACATGATTTATTTTTCGTTCAATTCCAGATTATAGTAAACACCCTTCGGGTGAAATTCGATGCAACAAGTGCAACAAAGTCTATAAAAATTGGAAACAATTCCGCCATCATATCAGAGAACACCACATGTCCAAAAGCAAGTTCGTTTGTGATGGTTGTGGAAAATTGTTCAAAAGGAAATACACCGTTAGGAGACATTCTGTGATATGTAGTCGATCGAAAGAATTGGGCAATATCAAGACAGATAATGATCCATAATCATTATTGGCGAGAATGTTTCAACGAATAACTCCCATTTATTCGTGTAATATAAATTTGATTTTGTCAATTAAATATTTCAAAAGTCTCATAAATATACTTTTATTATCACGCATTATGTAGTTTTGAAAACTATTTGAACGTCATAGTTACCTCAAACTCTGCATGTGAATCGTTTCATAGTTATTATATGTTTCATAGTCCTGTTGCATTGAAACGTTATAATCACATGTTTTTACATTTTTTCATCAAGAAGAAAATATACTCGAAACACCACAATAATCTTCAGAAAAACCTAGATACGTATTTTTGCAACTATGTTGTCTGTCATCTTCAGTAGATCTGAAAAAGAATTAAAGAACAGATGACTGTAGTATCATCTTTCGAGCTATACTATAGAGCCAGCTTATCTCTATTGCCTTTTAAGTCTCACTGAGGTTGACAACTTAGTTGCCGAAAAATGTGATCATGTTTTTCTGAATTTTATTGTGGCATTCTGGATATATTTCCGTACTTGATTATTTCACCACAATCTCAAAAACTTCACTTTGTCGAAACAATAATCTATCATTTCTGATAATTTTTATATCCATCTATACTGTTCCTATACCAACTGTTAATAGGCATGTATATATAAATAATTTGCCTGTATAAGTTCATAATAAGGTATTTTTTTATTTGTGCTATAAGATTTATTTTTTAGGAGCTGCAAAAGATCAAATCAAAGGAAAACTGAAGCCAATACACATGAGTAAAAGGGTTCAGGATGACAAGTTGCAATTCATGAAAGGTACAAATGATTTCAACAATTCAAAATCAGAGTATTTCCAACAGTTTGACAATTTAATTTACAGATAATTTTCCGAGAGTTCTATCTCTGCTAGAGTCGATAAAATACGACACAGATTGCTTGATGAATAGCAAAAATCCAACAACAGCAAACATTCAGAAGGCAAAATTTTTCGATAATTTGCCCTTGCGCAGTACTGAAGAAATAACAGATTTCGACATGAGAATTTCCATAGACACCAGCATGAAATCCAAACTTGTAAGTATGTACATGGTGATACCAGTATAAAATCCAAACTTGTAAGTATGTAGTACAGGGTGATCAGTTAAGGGTAGCGAGCGGCCATATCTCATAAGATATTGGTCGTATAGATTTGAGAAAAAAAGAATCATGATAAAAGTAGCCAAGAGAAATTGCTGGAAATTATTTTCGAGTTTGTGAAACCTCCGCTACAGGGCGTAACAATCAACACCAAGTAGAAAAATGAAATTTTTATAGAATTTTGTTCAATGAAAGTATATTGATGATATAATTTTTATATTGGATGACAATTTCCCTACATCTTTTGTCTGGAACGTTCTGTTCTATCTATCAAAATGAAGCGTTGGGGGAAGTTCAATTGTTCTTTTAAACAAACCAAGGTTTCTCTCGTTTATTCCGACCGATTTTAGCAAACTTAGGCTTATATGAAAGAGCATAATTTGCCCTACAAAACGCTCATTTGGTTTCGAATTTTTGACTTTTGCTGTCGCCGCTAGATGGCGTTAACTGAAATGTTAGCAAATTTTTGAGTTTTTTTCAAAAAAAAACAAATGTAATGATATATTAATTCTTATATGTTTTGAAAGAGGATAAATTTCTTTATAATCTAATGAAAATAATTCATCATCTACCTTCTTTTGAACCGTTGATATTGACCAAAATATAATTTTATTACATTAAAAAATGACACGCCACTGTTTTTTATTGAAATAAAAATCAGTTTTTCAATCTCTTATTAGTTGCTAACAAAAGAACTTCTTGACTTTTTTTCATTAGACAAACGGTTTTGGATTGAAAAAATAAAATCGGTTTTTCTAATTTCGACATATAATTTGACACTTTTCAAAACTGACGGAAGTTTTGAAACGTCTTACTTTACGTAACCAGTTGCGTAAAGTAAAATTTTACATAACTGGTGATGTAATGTTCATTTCAACACCAGTTACGAAATAAGAATATGAATGGACAAAGAGAAATTGATTCAAATCTGTAGCTATACAAATAAACAAACAAGAATTCAATTAGAATTTTCAAATTTTCTATAAGCAATATCATATCGTTCTTTTGATTTTTCCGGAATCATGGTTAATAGTGCATTTTGTGCTGCTTCCTCAATATCACTTGGTAAATCAGAACTTGAATCGGACATTTTTCACCTATAAAAACATCAAACGATTCTATTTCGTCGCTAGTTTGTGACCGTATTGTTGTTTGACGGATACTTCAAAGTGGCAGGCGAAGTCAACTAGCCTACTAAATTTTGTGAAGAGTCGGCAGAGCTCATGTTAAACTGGTCATTATTTTTGTTCATGCGAAATGTTTCGTCAAAATTAGAAGAAATATTGTACGTGACACGTTAGGAAACGCCATTTTGTGTAACTCTGTGATGTTGCGGGATCTCGCTTCGCTCGTCCCGCAAAATCCCATTGTTACACAAAACAACGCGTTTCCTAACTGATTACGTAAATATCTATTACATGGGGCGCCCATATCAAATATAATTCTGAACCAGTATGAACCTATTTTATTTTTCCAATCCAAAATCGTTTGTCTAAAGAAAAAAAAAGTCAGGAGGTTCTGCTTGTTAGCAACTAATGAGAGATCACAAAACTGATTCTTATTTTGATAAAAAACAGTGGCGTGCCATTTTTTATTGTAATAAAATTATATTTTGGTCAATATCAACGGTTCAAAAAAAGGTAGATGATGGATTATTTCCATCAAATTATAGAGAAATGTATCCTCTTTCAAAACATATAAAAATTTATATACCATAACATATGTTTTTTTTGAAAAAAACTCAAAATTTTGCTTACATTTCAGTTAACGCCATCTAACGGCGACAGCAAAAGTCAAAAATTCAAAACTGAATGAGCGTTTTGTAGGGCAAATTATGCTCTTCCATATGAGCCTAAGTTTGCTGAAATCGGTCGAAATAAACGGGAGAAATTTTGATTTGTTTAAAAAAACAATTGAACTTCCCCCACCGCCTTATTTTCATAGATAGAACAAAACGTTTCAGAAAAAAAATTTAAGGAAATGGTCAGTTAATATAAAAATGATATAATCGATATACTTTCATGGAACGAAATTCTATAAAAAGCACATTTTTTCACTTGGTGTTGGTTGTTACGCCCTCTACCGGACGTTCGACAAACTCGAAAATAATTTCCATCAATTTCTCTTGGCATCTCTTATTATGATTTTTTTTCTCAGATCTATACGACCAATATCTTATGAGATATGGCCGCTCGCTACCCTTAACTGATCACCCTGTACATGAAGATCTAGATTTTCGTGCAACAATGTTGACCCCTGATTTATAGATTCAATAACGTAACGTAACGCAAGTTCTTCTGTTATACGAAAGAAGATAAATCATGGGATTTTTCCAGTACTGTTCATCAATTTATTCATTCATTATGATGAAATAAGTGATGCAAACTGTTATTCTGGGGAGATCATGTAAGATACCTATTTGTTGCTTCTTGATGTGTGGTAGGTATTGAAGCTGGAGCAGATGGTTGCAAAGATTCATATCCATAGGAGTATATTTGATTATTATTGTTAGGGATCGTTAGATACCCCCTGTGTATAGGGCGTCGAAGTTCGATTAATAAAAACTATTTTTTCTGTGACGGGAAAAAGTTTGGCATTTCATCTCTGTTGGCAGGTCATGAAATGTCACTTTTCATAAATTACTTTTTTCCCGTGGGAAAAAAGTGAGTACTTTTTTTCCTGATATATATCACATATATATATACACTGTTGATGGCTTTTGTTGTGCTATAGTTCCGAAAAATGAGTCAATAATACCATCTCCGAGAAAGAACTGCAAGTCATTTTATCTTCCATTCGACTTCGGGGTTATCTATATTACTAAACAACCCACTATGTAAACAACCATAAATTCGCAATTTTTTTTAAATCGAATCACAGAATTAGACTGACAGAAGTGACATCAGATATTTGATTACTTCAAAGGAATGATGAAAACGCCTACAACGCAGGTGTCCCTACTGTTAGAAACTTAAAATTCACGTCGATAATTTTCAGATTTCAAAATAATGTAATATCTTCTCAATATTGATTCGTCCTTTCTTCTGTCACAGAAAAAAATAGTGCATTATACACGGGAAAACTATTAGATTTTAGCTAAAATCTACTACTTTTTTTCCTTTTATAATAAGTAACTATATCTCCTTTATCTAGGCGACCTACCTCTCGCAAGTTGGTGGAAATTCAGCAAAAGATAACATAGTCAGAATCCTCAGGAAAATGTTCGACAACAAAGTGGCTCAAGAGTGTTCTTGGATGGGTTTGAGACAGAACTTCAAAGTAGGAACTCTGACAATGATGTCAATCATCAAAGGTGAGAAACATGTGAACATCTGTTTTATGTCCCTACCTATAAGAGATTCACGGCTTGACTTGATATTCAAGCTACTTGACTTGACTTGACTTGAAATCAAGTCAAGTTCAAGTCAAGCGAAAGTTTTTTAATGTCAAGTCAAGTCAAGTAATTATTTATCAAGTACTTGAAAAATCAAGTAGTTCTATCAAGCTACTTGATTTTCAGCAGCTTTATTGTGTATCTATACAGCGTGACTCACGGTCGATGTTATAGGTCAGACGTTTATGGAGAACGCGACGCGGGATTTTTCTGAAAATTTCGCATACACAAAAAATTCCTGAAGTTGAAAAATCTCGATTTTTCGCACTCTATATCTCCATAATCATTTCCGCTATACCCCGAGTGTGATGTATCGATGAAATCAACTCTTCAAGGAGAATCTGAAAATGCAATAAAATACAGGGTGTTCAATTCGAAATAACAAAGTGGTTCCTACTTTTCTATAGAAGCGGCAACGTCGTGATTTTGAAAATATATTAGATCGATAGTACCGGTGATGAAATGTAAGATGCGAAATTTTCAGAAAAATCCTGCGTTGCGTTCCTATCATAAACGTGACCGTCTAACCTACCATCGACCGTGAGTCACCCTGTATATAACTGATGAAATGAAAATGGCATCGTAATTCAGTCAGCTCGGATCTCGGGGAACCCCCGTATTTTGTCTAAGCGTGAGCGAGCTTGCAGAAATATACGCCGTGCGACTCGTGCGTATCAAGATCAAGTATTATCAAGTAGCTTGATTTCAAGTCAAGTGATAAATATCTCAAATTCAAGTCAAGTCAAGTACGTAATTTGCCACTAGCTTGATTTTCAAGTCAAGTCAAGTAGTTTGTTAAAATATCAAGCTACTTGACTTGATGAATCTCTGCTACCTATACAAGATGTTCCCGAAGTAGGGGATATAAACGATAAGTTGTTCAGAAGCAATCAAATAATGTACACTTTCTTTTATACCTGAGTGACCTACATATGGTTACATAGATCTCAAAAACGGGTGAAGATGCGAATTCGGCCTTTAGTTTTTCAGTTATATCGAAACGAGTGAATTTATGGAAAAACTATTCTATTTTTTTTCTACGATATTATTAGATTCAGAAAAACCTAAAGATATTTCTCCATACCGATTTTTGATGTGATCTCAACGTGGTGATATTGATTTGTCTACACGACGTATTGTATTCGTAAAACCATCATCAACTTTAGAAAAAAAAAAGGTCCTGATTATGTGTCCTAAAATTCTGGAAGCATTTTTCATTCTGAATTCAACCATGTATTATACAAGGTGGTTTCAATATGTTTCGACCTAGTTATAGCCATCATCAAGGTTTTTTCGAAATTGCAAATGGCAACTACCATCAATTTCACTTGTTTCTATGTAGTTATCAAATACTGAGGGGTGAAAAAATATTCCTCCAATTTATTCAATGCAGCGCTTCACATATTCTTTCACTTTAATGGATTCTCACACATATTTGAAAAACATTTATATCAAATGTTCAAAGATATAACAATTAAAACAATGAATGTTCAGAATTATAATTGATTATAACGTATACCCACAGAAAAAAATCCACCGGTGTCCAATCAATAATTATATAGTCAATAAGTTACAAGGTCATTCGAGTAATAATCCATCATAATGAAACAAATCGAAGCGCTGCATTGAATGATTTATGGAGTATTTTCTACTCACTTGACAGTATCAAATACCAACTTCATCAATGTTTGACACCGAATGATCAGAAATAAGTGATATTCCCTCTTTGGAATTTCGAAAAAATCATTGAATATGGCTGAAACTAGACCGAAACACATTCGAACCAACTTGGTTGAATTCAGAATGAGACATGCTTCCAGAATCTGTGAATACACAATCAGGACCGGATTTGAAAAAAAACTTGATGATGGTTCCACGAATACGAAACGTCGCGTAGAGAAATCAATATCATCATGTGTAATCTCATCAAGAGTTGCTTTATAAAATCATTTTTAGTTATGTTCCTCGAATGATAATGTTGAAAAAATAGAGTTTAAAAAAATTTTGTTTTTTCGATATACTTGACTGAAAAACTATAAACAATTTTGAGAGTTTTGGAAAGCCCTTGGAATGCGCAAATTTTCTCTCATTTTTCCCGTTTCCGAGATTTTCATGCTTTGTAACCTCATCTTGTTCGAACTGTATCACTCACTAACTATTATTGAAAATCCTGCAATTTTCCTAAGTCATTGATTCTCCTGACTTCGCCGAAATATTTTCAAATAATTAATTCGTTTGACCTTCTTTATAACCCTTCATTTATTATTCCAATTCCGAGAATATTCTGTAATATAAAAGGATTTACCATAACATCATGATATTTTCACGAAAGAATTTTTATTTTCTTGCAGAGGCAGTGGAAGTTAATTTCCCGCACAGTGAAAAGGAGTTTGAAGAGATAGCTTCGTTTTGGTTCAGACATGCCAAACAAAGATACATACGTGATCAGAAGAAAGAGATAACCAATGTGTTATATAATATTTAGATGTTTTGTTATGATTAGAATATGCCAGAACCCTTTCATTTGTCTTTTGTCACTCGACTTGGTTTTTCTTAAATTCCAGGAGAAATATGATGGTCTTAGAACTCTTTGAAAAAAGTTTCATTTTAAAATGAGTATAAGTATGTACATTTTTTCACCTGTTGTGATCCGGATTTCAATAATGGTTCCGACACTTGATATATTTCACGATAACAAATGAAAAGATATTGTCTATTTCAATTGTTAGTCAAACGCAAAACAGTCATGAAAGAATTGTATACTTGAATATTGATTCAGTAAAGATGAAAGAACATAAGGTCAATACCTATAAAAAAAGCATCGGCAAATGGAAATTAGATGACACAGAAAAAAGTTTAGAGTAAAATTAAATTATAATATTATGGTTTTATTCATTAGGTAATGAAAACTATATTTATAGTCCATCATAATAGTAAAACATATAATATTCACTGAATTTTCATAGTAATTTCATCAAAGTGATGTTTCGCAATTTTTCTAAAGCTAGTTACTATAATTATTAGTAGGAAGTAATTTTTACTTCATCTCATACAGTTGTAATCGATCCGCACATAGTGAAAATATCCATAATTCCTTTCACAGAAACTATTGGAATTATCATTATGAGAACATATAGTAAAATAAGATGCATTCTCTATGGATTATTTCTATATTGTTGAGCTATTTTTCGCAAGATGTTTTTTATATAGTTTCTGTAGTAGCCGATACATAGGTATTTATGTAGACATTACCAAAATTTTAGTTCTTATGTTGAAAATTCGCTATTCGCCGATTATGACATCATACGAACCAATCTACGATTCAAAACGAGTCCACAGTCGCAGAGTATGACATGAAGTTCTAGTCATGTTGTAGCCATCTAGTGGCAAAGCTCTATGGTAGGATCAAGAGATAGCGACACACACTGTATGGCACTGTCATCTATGGTCACACGTACAGACCCTTACGTCTATACGCTGCAGAGTGGTACTACAAGTAAACCACTCTGCTAACAGACGGCACTACTTGACATATACTTGAGTGGATCTTTCCACCGACCTATTCAACTGCTAGATCTCATAACTAAGAGATCCAGGATGAACAGAGAACTTTCAACTCAAACCATGTTTATAATGATCCTTTTATACATAAATAATGATTGACGACATAATTCGATCGAAAAATTAACTGGAATGTTTCATTTTTGGACATAAATAACAGTGCCTTCTGAAAACGAACCCTCTTATGACATAGAAACCTCATCTCGCCATAGCTAAAACTGACACTTATCACTGTTGCCATATCATCCAAACAAAATATCCGAGAGATCGAAATCGGTATTGAAATATCTTTTGATATCCACTACCACTACTGCAGAAAAATATATTCAAGTTGTCGATAGTAAGGTTGAATCATTGGAATATAAACAATCTCTAGAAAACGAAATGTCTCAATATCTATAAACCATTTTTGCACCATTACAATTTCACAATAATCCAATATATTTCATAAACGCAGCAACATTGCTTCGTTGACCCGTTTTACATGGTTAGAATTGATTTTCTTCTTGTTCTTATTACCTTTGTCCCAAAAATCCACTTGCCGATTCACCAATCTCGGTGCTTTGTCAGAAATCATGAATCATTCATCTCTGTCTGGAATAGTCTTGTTTCAGTATTAGGGTTTTGACGTCACATCACCGCCTCGTTTTCAGAGGTCCAAGAAATCGGGGATTTCAATAATTTTTTATAAAACGTTGGGAGCTCACAGCAAGCAACGGTTTGCGGTGGTGAGCTAGTTTGGGTGAGTTCTATCGAATTATGAAATAAAATTTCTTTGTGATATAAGCCCAATGACATCAGGAGCGAGACAGTACTGTTTGGACTGTCGAAACAGTCCTGGTCATATTATTAGGACGCAGAAAAGACCAAGGTAGAATGTAGATGAAAAAGTTATTGATGAAAGAGAGAATAGGAGAGTTTTATGTCATCAAAATGTATTTGTTTGTTTAACGGGGAGAACTTTTGATTTTTTAATGAGGAATTGATTTCAAAAATTTCAAGAATATTGAGTAAAGGACCTTTTTGACAAACATGCGAAATTTCTTGATCTTCATTTATATTGGAAATGTTGGAATATGATTAGCAAATGAACTGGTGGTGTTATATTTATCCATGTGCCGTATTCTAGATTTTTCTATAGTTTTACTACTCCTTTATCCATTTTCCCCTTCAAGATACCATGGACTACAGATCAGTTAATTATATATTTCGGGCTGTAAAACTGACCAATACTATCTTGAACTTCATTTTCTCAATTAATCCTCATGTTTTAGCTGAAGATATGCTGACGAAAAGTTATTATCGTTTGCTTCAAGTTTCAGACTCAAGTAGGTGGGGCAACAACGCCCATGAATCGTTTCTCTATAGGGAAATTATTCTTGCCAGACGTGTATGATAATATTTTTCAAATATAAAAGTATCACCAATTTCGAAGACAATGAAGTTATTGTGATATTTCCATATTTTTGTTACCTAGGATAATCTAGAATTTAAGATGTTGATATTCTGAAACCTGTCGACACTCCATTAGGTATAAATTTTGAATAAAAAAATGAATATTTTTATAGGTAGTTACTCAGGTATTGGCATCATATAATCAATATTATTTAGATTAGGTGCTCACTTTTACAGGTTAGTTTTGATATCTCTTACCAGGTACACAAATGTCTATGTTATAATAGTGAAGTGTTTCCGAAATTGATGAAGCTATAAATGAAATGGGTTTTGGATTAATCAAAGATTCTCAAAAAGTGTACGATTTTACTACTATATTGCACAAATAATTTTTGAAATAGTGATGAAAATTCATCAAAATGATAGAAATGCTATGAGAAAATATACAGTATCATCCATAATCCTTAACATATAGGGAAAAGTTCATTATTATATAGAAGTATCCCCAAGAACTTACAACTTCCAAAAGTTAAAGAAATTCCAACACCTATACCTTCTCTTCTTATCCTCCTGAGGTACGCACGATGTTCCACGAATATTATAGGAATTTCGTTCCGTGCGACCCAAGAGATGAAAAAAATGCACGTCCGATAATCGAAAAATCGATTTTGATGTATGTCACGTTATCACAGGACTGGCGGTAAATTTAAAAAAAAAGGACTCAAGAGGCAAAAAGTGCTAAAAATGCCATTTAATACTCTCAGAATTCCAAGTAATTATTCAAGAAAATTGAAAATAGCCATTTTTTACGTATATTTTTCGATCTCTTCTCGATTATCTAATTTTGTTCTCCTTTTTCTCCACATATTTCGGACTTGGATGGATGACACTGTACTTAAATCTGAAAATATGTTCATTGTCTTCCAAATTCCAATCATTATTTGTCTGTTTCAAAAGCAGGAACAGTGTGTGAAACAAAAATATATAGGTAGTCAGATTTCACGAAATTCGAATAGTGAGAGACACCGAAAAATTGAGATTTCTCTGAAAAAAATTGTATACTTTTTAATAAATTAATTTAATTCTCAAATTTTTTTTTCATGATCCCTCGTCCTGAAACGTGATAATTTCTTGAAGCAATTCAGTTTCGTTAACAAAAAATGTAGTAGTTCTTATATGTATATTATGACTCGTGAAATATAGTCATGTAATATACCACTCTATTCTGGATATCTTCTAATAACGCTATCTCTCATTCGTGAACAATAAGGCAAAGTCTATAATAGGTATTGGAACATTATATGAATATACTTACTCAACTGTTGTGCAATATCAGTCTGCTTTTATAATATTTTGTTTCTGTTTCAGTTTTGAGATATTCTTGTCCAAACTGTGGAAGATCGTACAAAAATAGTCAAACTTTATCAAGACACCTCAGAGTAGAATGTGGGAAGGAGAAAAAGTATAAATGTACATTTTGCACAAACACATTCTATTACAAGACAGAAATGCGAAAGCATTGTATGAAAAAACACGAAAATTCATTCAAATCCAGTTCAACTGAATAATCCAGGTCATCTGCCTTTGAAAATTCTGAGGAACCATCAATATTCAATGAAAAAGTTTCCAAATTTGAATGTTAACCAGACCAAGGGTAATTCCAAGAAGATAGGTACCTACTGATATTGAATCTAGGGTGAATTTTATTTAAATTACTCTGGTGTTTTCATCTTTTGTGTAGGTAATACGATGTTCAGTAGCTGAATTAAAATATCTTTATATTCAATTGTGTTGTGTTACAAGTTTTTGGTGGTTCAAGTTCCCAACATAGCGAGATTTCGTTATTCTGATTGAGAATACACACTGAACTGAAAATCCTTGGGGAAAAGATTGAGGATGGGAACTGTGGATTCAATAAATTGAAAATGGCGCTTGAGCCGAATGCGGAGTGTCGATGCGCAAATGCGAGAACTGTTGTCAAAGCATTTTTTATTTCACTAGAATGACGTGAATTATACAGGGTGTCCCAAAAAGGTCTTTACAGGATCTCAGTACAAAATTTTTTAGTTTGGGCGCTAGACGACTCACAAGTTACAATTTTCAAATCGTTTTTTCTTCATGACCTTGAAACTCAAATTTGGTACATTTGCCTAATTTCATTTGGCAATCTCAACAAAATCCATATCAGGATAATGATAGATATCATTCCATTGGTGTAGAAATTGATTTTTTAGGTAAATAAACATCTAAAACTTCTACGCCAATGAAAAGGAAGCAGTTTGAATATGGAATTTGGATTGGGTAACTTCTTCAGTTCAAAAATGGCGCTCTTGATGAAATTTGATCACTTTCATGGTCAAAATAATTTGAATTCTAGGAACTCAAACCGTCAGTTGAAATTGAAACGATCAACAGATTTGTCATGAAAAAAATTTTAGTAAATTGTTATAATCATAGTAATATGCATAAGCTCCTTTTTCAGTGACAAAATCGAGTCCTCAGCCGAAGATAAAAATTCTCAAAGTTGAAGATCTAAAAAATGACGATATAGTTGCGAGAATCAAATTGGAACTGAGCCAACAGTGGAGTTTGTCAAAATCTGACTCATTGCCATCTGCTCAAAAAAACTCCGTTTTGAATCATTGGTTAACGAAGGATGTCAAAACAGACCCAGACGAAGGAAAAGTAAAAGTTCAGCAAGCAGAAATAACTAAAGTTGAAACAGACGAGACTAGTAGAATATCATTAAAAAAGAAGGAGAAAGCAACTTTGATCGAATTGTCTACTATAGAAAGTTGTAAAAACGTCAGTAATCCTAATAAACATACATTAGAGAAAACATCTTCCAGTATAAAGAAACAGTTGGCGCCCGAGGAACTAAAAGATAGTTCACCCAAAGCTCCAACAGAAGAAACTAAACCCTCCACTTCCACTTATTCTACCAAAAACCTCAGTCTTTATGCAGATGAAAAGAAGAACATCAAGAAACCACGTGCTAAAAGAAACATCGTGTCCATTGAGCGAATGAAAAAATTCAATGAGCTAAGTCCAGAGCAAGTACAACCTAAGACCAAGCCAAAACGAGCCTGCGAGTTAACTTGGGATGAAATTAAAAAACCAGTCGACAAGATCAGATGCATACAATGCAACGAACTCTTCAGAAGAGAAATATTTCTAGCTCACTCTAAAATTTGTAAAGGTAGAAGACCAGCGAAAAAATTTCGTTGTCTGCTCTGCAGTTTCACTCATGTGGATATCAAGGTGTTGGGGACTCACGTGCAGGAAGAACATCATAAGGCAGACTGAAAAAATAATGAAATAATTTTTATAATTTTCCCTGCTATAAACATATACAGAGTGGGCCATTGAAAACGAAACAGCGGCTCTGTAGGTCGGCAAAACCGGATTATGAAAAAAATCTGAAACATGTAAACTACATTTTCGAGGGGGACTTCGTTCTTAAATATTTTCAGCCCTGCGGCGTTGCCGCGTCTAACGGGAAGAAGCAACAACTTTGTTATTTCAAATGGAACGCCTTGTATTTCATTGCATTTTAAGATTCTCCCCGAAGAGCTGATTTCATCAATGCATCACACTTGGGGTCTAGCTGGAATGATTTCAGGGATATAGGGTTGTTCAAAATCGAGATTTTACAACTTTAGTATTTTTTTGTGTCAAAACTATTCATTATTGGTCGAAACGGCTTTTATGTCCCTATCTCAACTTTTGATTTACTATCTACTGACATTTCATTGTAACAGATACAGGGTGATCAGAAGTCTGAATCTTGAACCACCCTGTATTTATTTCAAATAAATGTCAGTAGATAGTAAATCAAAAGTTGAGATAGGGACATAAAAGCCGTTTTGACCAATAATGAATAGTTTCGACACAAAAAAATCCTAATGTTGAAGAATCTCGATTTTTTAACACCCTATATCCCTGAAATCATTCCAGCTAGACCCCAAGTGTGATGCATTGATGAAATCAGCTCTTCGGGGAGAATCTAAAACTGCAATGAAATATAAGGTGTTCCATTTGAAATAACAAAGTTGTTGCTTCTTTTCGTTAGAAGCGGCAACGCCGCAGGGCTGAAAATATTTTAGAACGATGTCCCCCTCGAAAATGTAGTTGACGTGTTTCAGATTTTTTTCATAATCCGGTTTTGCCGACCTACAGAGCCGCTGTTTCGTTTTCAATGGCCCACTCTGTATGTTTCTTGGGAATGATAAAGATCATTATATATTGTCAATGTTTTGAGTTGGTTATTTATACAGGGTGTCCCGGAATTAGCCTTCCAAATTTCACCAGAGGCTTCTACGACCAAAACTAGGAAGAAAAATTCCGATAAACATGAGTCGACAAATGTCTTCTGAGGGAGCTACGGCATTCTGAAACGTGGCTTCTGAAGATAATATTTCTTGGAAGTTTCCGAAACGCCATGTGATAAAATGATGCAATTCGGTGAAATAATTGAAATTTTCATGCCTAATGCATTAATGAATATAAGAGCATTCCAAAATTTCATTCAGGAGTGTATAATACAGGGTCGGACTACAATAAATATATGCATATTTTTCCAAAATTCAATCTCGGATTATGAAAATCCACACTTACCTACAGAAAAAAAAAAGATGCAACTGTTCCGTATCGAAAAGATTTATTATTCTCGAGTAAAATCGCTCTTAAATATATTGTTTCATCCCAGATAAGCTTTCAAGTTCTATAGAGAAACGAGTTTTGATATAGTGCTGTTCGACATATTTCGAGGTTTAGAAAGCAAGGATATGCTGACTTCGTCTGGCTGGAATTGCTAGCCGTGGAATTATAGCAGAAATTTCTGAAGAACATTTTCTATTATACGGGCTACTATAAAATTGTTTGGTGAGAAAAAAGTACTTACTTGATTTTTTTATAGTCACAGTGATTCGAAAATTGGCAACTCAATGTATGTGTAGCAATATTTTCCATCTGATCGATACGGAACAGGAGTACCTTTTTTCAATAAAGAGATGTGGACTTTCACAATACGAGATTATGGTCGAAAAATATGCATACAAATGAGTTTGAACAATATTTAATGTAGATCCACCCTGCATACACTCCTGAATGACATTATGGAATTATTTTATGTCCACTACATAGGACATGAAAAGTCATGAAAAGTTTAGTTCTTGTTCCAAATTCATGTGATGATAACGTGGCGTTTCAGAACTATTCAAGAAATTTCTTCTTCAGGAGCCTACTTTTTGGTCGTGGAAGCCGCTGGTGAAATTTGGCTGGCAAATTTCGAGACACTTTGTATATTGTTTAGAATTTCATCTTCTATTCCTTTCATTCAATTTTCCGTTGACATCGCATTAACAAGTTCAATTATTAATGTACATTAAATTGATCGTTGATATATAATAAAAACATATTCAGTTGTGCATATAAAGGAAATTGTGATATATTTCGTTGATACATATATTTTCTCTCCGCAATTGATCGTTAATTTATCACAACCTAGAAAATCTGGCTCTATTTTATAGATATTTTCATGGACGAAATATCAACAATTGTTCCTCCTTTGGCAGTCCCCGCGAGATTAACCCGTCGAGTTGAGGCTTCGCACCCTTTCGTGGTCACTTTGGAGACCTCCAGAACATCTCTTTCCAAATACTCGTTCATCCAACGAACAGCGAGGCTCTGGAACACATGGCCAAGGGAGGTATTCCCCGAGGTATATAGCCTACAGAAATTCAAGAAGAACACCAGTTTCTACTTTATTCCCCTTGGTTCTCACGATGTTCTCTGAACTTTACAGGATATCCCTTTTCGTGAAAATCCCAAACGCTAGTTATACATTGTATCTCTTTCAAGGACCGTCAACCCCCTTTCCTCGATTTCTTACACAACTTCAACAAACACGGTCTGTATAAATGTGTAACGATATGGACACGATCAATATGATAATTTTCCAAACACTATGCACATGTAGTGATGAACAATAATTTGAACTGTTTTCTTTCTGTTTTTTTTTTAATTGACTCGGCCGTTATCTGAAAAAAAACTTCACGAACGATGAGATTTCCACAAAATTCTTAATCACACATTCGATTCCCAGCACGAGCAAGGAATTTTTTTCAATATTTTATTTACGAATTAAATATTGTAAAGTTTCGGAGCATCGGCTGGGGATAGTCCTGCACGATTTGCTGTTGCGTTCCAATTAACAGTGCTGCTCCTAAAGTGGCGCATGGAGTTAGTTACAAAACCTACACAGATCACGCAGAAAGATATGATGATGTGGTTGTGAGCATCAGAGAAGAAGTAGGACGGTGTATGTAGGTGGGTTTGGAAAACTACCAGCTGAGCGTGAGAGCGGGCCAGCTGCTTATTAGACCTCGGTCTCGGGGGTTAACGAGGATAGTTAGCAGGCCTGCCACTGCGCATATGGTAGTGAGTACATTACTAGCCTACAAAACACAGCTGAAAAACTCTGAAAGAGAGCTAATGGGCGGTGCCTGAAAAGGATGTTAGCCAGCTCTCTTGAGCAAACCACATCAGTCATTGAAAACACTTGGGGTTTGCAAAAAGGTCCCATTAGGGACTAGTTGCTGACGTGGGAACGTCCCCCACCAGTACCAGTACCAGTAATCACACATGTTTCGCTAACCCAGTAGCTTCATCAGGTGAAATACTGGTATAATGAAATAAACCAAATGTCCCTCTTTCAAAAGTTAATTTCAATGATGAACTCAATATCATAAAACAGATTGCAGTCAACAACGGATGCAACGTTAATTTGATAGATAGTAATATTTTTCAAACACTTCATAATTGAGCTATTCAAGAAGTTTAATCTACCATCAAGAATAATAATCAAAATTATTGAACTTTGACCTATTTCGGATCATCAACTGAAAAACTAGCTTCATTTCTACATGAACAGGACTTGAAAGTAGCATATATAAAACAAATAACACGTTGGGAAGGGAAGGTTCATCAAAAATAATAAAGACAAAACTTCCAAATTCGAAAAATCAGGGGGATACAACTGGTACTGGTACTGGTGGGGGACGTTTGCACGTCAGCAACTAGTCCCTAATGGGGCCTTTTTGCAAGCCCCACGGTGTTTTCAATGACTGATGTGGTTCGCTTAAGAGAGCTGGGCAACATCCATTTCAGGCACCGCTCATCAGCTCTCTTTCAGAGTTTTTCGGTTGTGTTTTGTAGGCTAGTAATGTACTCACTACCATATGCTGCTGTGGCAGGCCTGCTAGCTATCCTCGTAATCCCCGTTAGACACCGAGGTCCACTAAGCAGCTGGCCCGCTCTCACGCTCAGCTGATAGTTTTCCACACCCACCTACATTCACCGTCCTACTTCTTTTCTGATGCTCACAGCCACATCATCATCTCTTTCTGCGTGTTCTGTGTAGGCTTCGTTACTAACTCCATGCGCCACTTTAGGAGCAGCACTGTTAATTGAAACGCAACAGCGAATCGTGCAGGACTATCCCCAGCCGATGCTCCGAAACTTTACAATATTTAATTCGTAAATAAAATATTGGAAGAAGTTCCTTATATTTAATTCGTAAATAAAATATTGAGAAAAGTTCCTTGCTCGTGTTGGGAATCGAACCCACGACCTTGCGGTCGTGAGACGAACGCTCTTCCACTGCGCCAATCACGGCCTAGGGGAATACAAACTCAACTGTAAATCTTGCCCTAAGGTATATATCGGTCAGACAGGTCGTACGTTCAATCAGCGCATTCATGAACATGAGATAATTTTTTTAAAAAGATAACAAATTCAACATACGCCAACCATATATTAGAAGAAAACCATAGTTGTGATGATAATTTCGGAATTCTACACGTAGAAGATAAAGGAATGAAACTCAATCATTTTGAATCATCAGAAATCAACAAACTCAAAAAATTCTTACATGTTACTTAACTCGGGTGTTTTTATTGAATGACAAAATATTAAATTTATCGCTCATCGATAAACTAATCTTGCACTAGTTCATCATGAAACTGAAGGATGTAGGTACGTCTCTGAATTCGTTCAGAGCAGTTTGGTATAAGCATCCCAAATAGATTATTTAGATAGTAAGTAGGTTAGTCGAATTGTAATGATACAAAACTTCTAATTATTGTAGGTTACCAATGCCCCCAATGTGGCAAACAGTACAATAGGAAAAATAATCTCAAATATCACATGGATTTCCGATGTGGAAATAAAAGGAAGTTTGCTTGCCTCTTGTGCAATCACAGATGTAATTCTAAAGGAAATCTGAAGAGTCATTTATTCCACAAACACAAAATGGATGTATATGCTTCCAAAAT